CCTCCCTCCTCTCCTCTCTCTCCTCTATTCTCTCCTATCTCTTGTCTCCTCTCTTCTCTCTCTCTCCCCTCCTCTCTCCTCTCCTGTCTCCCCTCTTTTTTTCCTTACTCTATCCTCTCTCCTTCCTCTTCTCTCCTCTCTCCTCTCTCCTCTCTCCTCTTCTCTGTTCAGTCTCCTCTCTCCGTACCCTCCTCCATTCTCTCCTTATAGTGACGACAGGTCTGCGTTTCGCGAGCACGACCCCCCCCCCCGATCCCTGTAACTGTTGGCACTTTTGAAACGCCAAGACCCGACACAAGTCCAAACGTGACGACAGTTCTGCTTTTCGCGACCGCAAACCCCCCGATCCCTGTGAGTGTTGACACTTTTGAGACGCGAAGACGCGAAGACGCAACGCAAGTCCAAAAGTGACGACAGTTCTGCGTTTTGCGACCACAACCCCCTGATCCCTGTGACCGTTGACACTGTTGAGACGCGAAGAGTCCAAAAGTGACGGCAATTCTGCGTTTTGCGACCGCGACCCCCCCAATCCCCATCCCTGTGACCGTTGGCACTTTTGAGACGCAAAGACCCGACACGAGTCCAAAAAACTCGACAGTTATGCATTTCGCGACGATTTTCGACTCCCTGGCATGCCCGACATCCGCGAACGCTTGCGGACGCTTGCGGACACACGCAACGACTTTTGGTCACCTCCTGGACCCCTGGACCCCGACCTTATAAGAACGGGAACCCTTCTGCGGAGCATTCGGGGAAAGCATGAAAACTCGAAAGCCCCGCAATACGTTCATCTCCAGGAACATTCCAGCTCTTTCGGAACTAAACATATTGGGCGGGATTTAAGCAGGAATCTTCACTGAACGCAGACTGTTCAACCCGATACCTCACTGACAGTACTTGCGCTGGACCTTGCCTGAGAAATGACCGGAGCGCTGCATTCGGCGCCTGCGGTGCGTCCCTAACTCAAACATGCCTGCAGATCCATTCTAGAGCTGAAACGGGTGTTCAGTATGTCCAATCAAAAACCCGGTCTGAACAAACACGATTCAAGATGCGGCCAGGCTTTGGGTTGCAACGATTTCCATGGCACTTCGGAACTACACAGGGGCGCTGCGTTTACCAAAATACGCCCCTTTTTTTTGGGCAAGGTACTCGACTAATGCGTCAGCGAGTGGGTTGCTGAGCCTCTGAACTCAAGTTGCCTGGGCTAGTGCATGTATGGTGGGTCAGTCTTGCAACTCAAGGGGGTCCCAAGCGTGACTGCAACTTAGCATGCATTTGAAAAGTATTCCAGCTGCACCAGCCACTAGGCTCGCTAGGCCCAGCTGAGAAAGCCATTCGGCAACACCTCTCAACAAGACTGGGCCGAGGTCCGAAGATCCTCTTGGCGTCATTATCATGCGGAACCCCAAGCAGGCTCCTGCGCAAAAAATGGCGGAACAGCTTTGGTCCCGCTGCCAAACTTGGAAAAGCAGACCGACACTGACGGGACGCCAGACATGCCTGGTGAGCACAGTAGCCTCAAGCGCCGCTTAAAGCCTAACATGTCACCCTTTCACTACCAGCACTGCCAGCATCACCAGTTTACAAAAACTGGAGGCGCCAAGAAGGAGAAGACATTGCTCCGAGAGTTCACAGATGTTCGAACCAGACCTGGCAAGTGCCAAGGCATCAGCATGAGAATGCTTGTGCCATTGAATTTTAATCTCTTGCAACTCTAGCAAAGAAACACTTGTAACTGCAGAAACACCATCACCTGCAACGGAAAAATCACATGTGCGGAAATCCTCCTGGATGCCTGCTTATGCAATGTGCTTTTTCCCTAGGAAGCGCGCTACATCACTTGCGACTTAAAACCAGGGTTTAAGGAAGGGTATGGCGTTGCCCATACTCCTAGGTTCTTGAAGCTTTAAGGTTTCAGGTTTTGATATTTTAGGGTTGGGGGTTGTTTGGCATTTGTCGCTTTTTAGCGATTAGGGACAGGGATCCTTTCGGCCTTAGGTCCTTCAGGCTTTGCTCTGCGGGATCCTTTAAGGTACCAGGTGTGGGATTCTTCAGGAATTGCAGAGTTTTGGGGTTTGGGGTTTGGGGTTTGGGGTTGTTTGGGGTGTGGGTACTTTCCCGATTTTGACTGTGCATCTCCTTGGTTAGGGATCTTGTGGATTTCTGGCTTGTGGTGCTTGACTTCTTGTTAGGGCTCTGTAAGGCTTAAGGTCCCGTAGGGCTCAGGATGTGATTAATCAGGAAGTGATTAATCAGGATTTAGGGTTCTTCAGGGTTTAGGGCTCTTCAGGGTTGTCTCTGGGCTTCTTTAGGTATTTTTAATCGGACCCTTTCTCATTTGAGATTTAGGGTTCAGGGTTCTTTAGGGTTTACACTGTTGTAACGTTGTAAGGTCTGAGATTGCTCGTGGCTCGGGCTCTTTGCGATTTAGTGGTTTAGGGTTTGAGTTTAGGGCCGCCTGTTCAGGCTTTAGGTTTTGAAATCTTTTGAGGTTTAGGGTTTGGGGTTCATTATGCTTGAAGATTGTTTTTCTTCGAAGGGCTCTTGCGGCTTCGGGGTTAGGGGTTCCTCAGGGTTTTGGGTTTGGGTTCCGGGCCCGGAGCCTGGCTCGCACAAACATCACAAGTAATTAGATGCCGATAGAACAGTCTCAAGCAATAAACGAGAAAAGTCACTAGTACTGGTGATGTGGTTATGGGTCCGATACTATATGATATCTGCTGCCGAATGGAGATGAGAGACCTCAATCGTAGCTACCATGTTTGGCCAGGCTGCGGCTACGACGCGACGCTGGAGTGCCCCTGGAGACCAGCTCGTGCAGGTCGCCAACAAGGTAAGCATTAAGGTCGAAATAACCTCAGAACTCGAACAATCGAAGAATCCACTCCATGACCTCTGAGCAGATATCTGGGAATGATATGTGATCTGATATAGCTCAAGTTGGCTCCACAACGAAACCTGCATGCAGTACAAACCAACGGTACAATCGCAGAAACGATGACAGGGTCACCTTTACAGCATCCCTCTTCTCAACGTCCTGAGTGCAGATTGTTTGCGTCATGTTGCCGGATCAGAATGCCCAGCCTTCATGCTTCTCAGAAGCTGTGGCGAATGCCATTGACGTTGGCATCCATGGAAGTGCAGTCCACAACGTCTATCTTCGGGGTCAGAGAGCTGTCCTCGGACTGCTACACCGAGACGGAACCATATCTCCTTCCGGAGTCTCTAGTCTTCAATTTCCCAGATACTTGTTAATTAGTAAGAACAGGAAAGCCGCGGCTGAATCAACCACAGCAATTATTCCAAGCCTTTGTCTACTTTCGAACCATGAGACAATGTTTGCCACCGGGCAACATAGCGGTTGGGCACTGGCTCTGCTACTCGGCCCAGGGCACGGCCCCGGCCGCCAAGGACCTGCGATGGCGCCAGCTCGGGGCATCTGCACATCTTCGGCATGTTCGATCCACGAGTCTAAATGTACGGTACTAAGAGTCACGGCTTCAAGCACGACATTTTGGGACTCCGCAGAACCCAGCTACCTATCTGCACCACAGCAAACCCGAGTAGAAAAGCGACAACATTGTGTTCCAGGCCTCGCCGGCCCAGAGCGCAGTGTCCTGCAAAAGGTGCTTTGCGTGACATGAGTTCTTGGATCCGAAAATTGCGAAGCTTTATTTCAGCTTGGGCATTGAAAGCACAGTGCAGCTAGTCCCGCATTGCACGAACGCAGCACCAAACATATGGCCTGCCCCTCGAAATCAACCTCACCGTTTGCGCCCTGTGAATCCCTGACCCTGCAAGAAAAGGCCTCTCGATCCACATACAGCGTGAGCCGCTGGCAAAGCCCAGCTAATCTGGTCAAGGTGGAAGGCGAGCCCTCACAGGCTGCTACTGTAGCTGGGGCAAGAAGCGTGGCATTCAGAGCTTTCAGGCTTTGGGATGGTTCAGCAAGCTGACAGCACAGAAAAATCTAAATCATCCCTGCGATGGACCCAAGCGCCTCGAAAAACGTGCTGCTGGGGCAGGACGGGTTGCCTCAAGTGGGTACCAATGGCTATCTTGAGCTCTTCTTTCACAAGCGCAGGAGCAGGATTGCCTACTTATCCCCGCAGATTCATATGGGGTTACGATAGGAAGCGCGCTTAGTTGTGATTTTCTTTTGTTTACGTCTAAATTTTGCCGTTTTTGGGAAATTTAATCGGTCGTGACTTTTTGGTAGCCTGCTTGTGAAGTTTTTTCGTACCATTTCCGCGCATGGGATGCCAGAACCCTTGCTCACCTATAACTCTTTGCGGCCTCAATCCTGCAAGTACCGTGAACTGCAGCTTTTCGGGCCCTTTAAAGGCTGCAAGTATACTAAATTACAGCATTTGGATGGGATTAGGTTATTGTTCGATCCATGACTTCAGATGCTACAGCTTGCAGCTTTTGTGGCGTTATGCAGGCTGCAGGTGCAGCGACGTAATGCCAAAACAATACATTTTTAAATGAGAAAGGACTGTTGTGGCGTGTGTAAGACAGCTATTTTGAGAGAGATCCCTGTCCACAACGAAGATAAAAAGAGAGATAC